CTAAACATAAAAAACGCGTACCTAAATGTATCTTACGCCATTACCAAAAGATATTGAAAACCCTAATCTCATCTACACACCACCATCTGCCGTCACACCACATCTCTTCCGTCTCACGTCGCTCTCTTCGGTCTCCGACAACCCTCTGTTACCACTAACTTCTCGATGCCGCCCATACAACCTAGAAGTATGTCACCAGCCATCCTTTCCCCATTAATCCTCACGTGGTCACCCAACTGGATGGTCGACGCCTTGGAAATCCACCTCTAACGGAACCGGCGTCCGCCGCCCCCTTTGTCCCAAACTCCATTATCTCATCTTTCTTATAAGCTATTGGGAACCTAAACACACAAAAAAGACCACCACCATAGATTTTTTACCTTCCGTCGATACCGTCATACCTCCCTTCTTTGGAACACTTGGACCGGACTCACCCATGGGCTATCGGAGATCGAAAATGATTTCGACATCTAATAATTTCACCACCTCCTTTTTTACAACTTCTTGCATGTTCGGGTTGAGTCTTCTTTGGCATTGTACTACAGCTTTTGCTCCATCTTCTAAGTTGATTTTGTGGGAACAATAGGCCGGACTAATTCCCTTGATGTCGGTTATCTTCCATGCTATAGCACCTTGCCTCTTCTTTAGTACACCCACAAGGCTTTCTTTCTCATGTTTGGCCAAATCAGCAGCTATAATTACAGGTTTTTGCTGGCCATCTTCAAGAAATGCGTACTCCAAGTGATCTGGTAGTGCTTTAAGCTCCGATTTCGTGTTCTGAATGTTGAACACGTCGAGTCCAGTGAGGGGACTCGTCGAGTCCGATACAAAATTCGCGACTGTTCGGGGTTCTTCGAATGGACTCGCCGAGTCGAGTTTTCTGCCTTTCTAATCAGATCGTTATAATCAACTTCCTCGAGTAGTCTCTCTATTTCCAGCAGGTCCCTTTCAGCGTCAAATTCTTCTTCAACTGTGACGGTGGACTTGTTTGACTTATCTTCATTCCAATCTTCCAATAATTCTTCCAACAAGTCCATCGAAAATGTCGTGTCGTCACTACTCCTTGCATGCTTCATGGCTTGATCAACTCCAAAAGTGACTGATTCGTCCCCTACCCGAAGGGTAAGTTTAGAATCTCGCATGTCGACGATAACACTTGCCGTATTAAGAAAAGGTCTTCCGAGTATGATCGGGACTTGGGGATCCGCTTCCATGTCTAAAACTA